TCCTTATTTCTATATCATCATCTATCATCGTGATCATCAGCTGTATAAAATGAGGTATAGATGGTTCTTTCACTTTAGAAAATCTGTAATTGGTGTAATTTTATTAAACACATTTTTATTTTCAGTTTGATGGCTGCAATTTAGAACTAATTTGGTATATTTCTGTTTCATGTCCAGGAAATTTCAGTTGCTTCTTGACAGCCCTCCTTGATAGTGGGCTAATCTTGCCTCTACCCATCGTTTCACTTTTGTTCCTTTCTTTCGTCTCCACCTCACAGTCTGCCTTACATTGGTGATGTAATAAACTAGTTCTAATATTTAAGTGATATTAAGTTTTCTATCCCTTCTGATAGAAACCTACCCTCTCTACATCTTCCTGCATATTGATCTGCTGACCTGGAGAGCAGATGGCATCCTTGAAAAAACTATTCCCTAGGAGCTCTTGGCATTTTCCTTGTGCAACTTCTAGGTAAAAAAGACATGACTGCCAAAACAAACGAACAAACAAAAAATTATAAGCTGAAGTTCTGTAACATTTTAAGTCATTATCATTCTTAGTTGAAGGGTTTTGAGGTCACTTTAGAAACCTTTTAAACTCATTTTAATGCCCTTCTTCTAGTCTAGCACTTCTGGTTTTTGTTTGTTTGTTTCGGTTTCAGGCCACTGTTGTAGTGCTTTCTTTGGAGAGGCGTGGTCAAACATCTACTCATCCCAGAAAGGCCATTCGCTACCGAGCAAGGAAACTATTCCACCTCGGTCTGACTTCATGTGAACTAGTAAGAAGCATGAATGACTTGGGTTCCTGTGTCACATAAAAGCCCACCCCACTACACAGCCACTAGGACAGTGAGGAGACACACCATTCCTCAGCACAGCAAGGAAGATTGCCCTTCAGGGACTCTCTCTCCACTCTTGCATGCCAGCCTTAGATAGATTAGTCTCTATTGGATGTCTTTTCACCCATAGTAAGGGGCACAGAATCGCTCTGTCAGTCTGTTTGGGTATCAGTTGTATTATGTGATATCTTTCTCCCTGGGGAAATAAGAATAAACATCTATTGGGAAAATAAAGGAGCAACAACAGACCAAAGAAATAATTTCTCTCATCTAGCTTGGTTTACCAATGGCAAGCATAGATAATTTTAGGTTGTTCATCATCAAATAGCCCACCCTGACATAATGCCTCATGGAAGCTAGGTCAATTGAGCTCCCCGCCCAGAGAATGTGCTGGCAAGTGTTCCATAGAACTGTTGCTACCTAATAGCAAAGGTTTGCTGCTTATATCATCTCTGGGGGGGGGGGGGGGCTTATGAGTCTTGTATGTTTCAATGACTCCTGAATCTTTAGAGTTTTCCTCTTCCCTCCAGGAGTCAATGCTACAATCCAGACAGAGTGACACGATCCTTTGAGAAGGTTTTTGAGGGGTGATACTTTACCTATCAGACTTCTATACCTCTGTAAAGAAGAGCCACAAAAAAGCCTTAATATTGCTCCACTGCACATAAACTGTGTTTAACTCGCCATACCCAGGTGTTATATGCAGCTCAAAATCTGTTATTTGTCCATTTATCCGCATAAACACATCATACAGTGGAGAAAACAGCATGAATAAACTGAAGAATTCAGGGAAAAATTTAAGTTTCATAAAGGGAGAGTTGAAGGATCTGGTGCCATGCCTCACAAAAGCAATTGTCCTTCTTCCATGTCAGAAATAGAAAGAAAAATGGCGCTAATTATTTTTCTATTCTCTCTATAGATATTATTTCGTTCTTACTAACAACATCATTTTCATATGAATGTATTGGATTCAGTGAATTGAAGGCAAGTCATGTGGAAGTCTGCTTTGTCCAAGACACAAAAACTCAGAGGCATTTAAATAATCAGAATCCAGAGAGTCCAAATCCAGTTGTTTGTTATGCTCACTGACGATGCAGTCCCAAGAAAATTTTACCTTAAATTCAAAATAATTACACAAAATATTGTGGCTAGTAATACTACTACCAACATGTGACTCAACTTAGAAAAGATCTTTATTTATGTATTAAAATCATTTTTGCCAATGCTAATCTGAAAGTCACAATTTTTATAATAGACATTTAAATGTATGTTAAAGCCACTAGCTCTCTCTCACTTGACAACTCTCCTGTTCCATAGTGGACAACTGATGGAAGTCAATGAACTACAAAATCCCACTTTGTAAATGATATAATAACACCTGAGTACAACCACAAGAATTACTCAGAGAACTTATGTAAGGGTTACTGCCTATAAAAATCGTGTGTGTACTTATAGATTAGTAAGACATTACCAAACACTGCCCTTGATATATATAAGTCATGTGTAGTATACTTATATTGACCAATTCTCACCATCATTTCTACTGAGAAAATTATGTGCATGTATACATATATATTACATATACATTATACACACACACACACACACACATATATATATATATAATTAGCTGAAATTAACTGGGGAGTCAATTAAATTTAGTATATTTCACATTCTAGAGTTGTCATATGTATGTCTGCTTGAGGAAACAATTAAGCTTCTTACTAGATTGCATGTTTTGAAATACAGTTAGCCAATTCCAGCACATGGACATATATCTAAATGTTAGTTTCTTCTTTGAAAATGAAGCACAAAAGCCTTAAGTGAATTCCTAATAAATACCTACAAAAATAACTCAGTACTTGATTATACAGGCATAAATTTGGCACAACCGCTATAATTTCCATGGAAAGCTATGCACATTAGCAAGCATAAGATATATTAATTTATATGATTATGTTGAAAAATTCATGAATTTTTAAATATTATGAATAGAGCAGTATTGCATTGGACATTATGATGAATCTTGGCCTTGAGACGTATGTTAAGAGCAATCAGTAAAGAATATTTCTTAAGGTTTCCATTCATAATTCTTCCAGACTTAATTCTTGTCTTTTAACGCATTTCTATTTCAAAAGAGTGGGGATGGAGGGGGAAATAAAGAAGAAAAACCTGTTAGAAATAATGCTCTGATTGTTTCTCAGCAGAGAGTAAGGAAGGAGGGAGGAGAAAGCAGAGATAGGGAGAGACTGAGGTGAGTCAACAGTGTCCAAATCATCCTCAGACCGTAGTGCTCCAGGATGCTCTTTTCCTCTCCAGAGCAGCTGGGACAACAGGCTCACACTGCAGCACCTAGCACAGAAGTACTGCTTTTTTTTCTAGAACGTGTAGGCAGAAGCTTAATTCATATCTATTTTAAGAGAAAAACTGATGCGTTCAAAAATATTTAGATTGAAAAACCACGAAGACTGAGGAAATGTTCATCGGCTGCTGGTGGGCAAGCATTTTGACATGGAAGTCGAGAATAATAACACACTTTAGGCTGCTTCGCTCTTGGCACAGGATCTTACAGAAAACAAAGTGCTTGACAACTATCTTGGCTGGATCTCACCCAGCGAGGCAGGCAGAGCCTGGCATATTGTTCTCGTGTTACAGAGTTAGTCATTAACCAGTGTGCCCCAAATCAGGCCAGAACTTGGATCTTTTGACAAAACTAAGTCCGGGACATCATGGACACCATTCTTTCTCGTCAAGACAGTCATGGTGAGTTTCAGTTGTGAAACAAGGGTAGCTAGAGAATATATTTTTCTTGTTTGGCATTTATTCTCTTGCTCTTTCTCTCTCTTCTCCCTCCTCCCTCTCTCCCTCCCTCCCTTTCCTCTCCATTTCGTTCACTCTAGAAATCGTGCTTTCATAAAGGACACCAGTCATCAAGACAATTTATGTAAAGGAACAGGTCACATGTAAAAATATCCCTAAATGCAGTTTATTGCCAAAAGAAATAAAATGAGCATGCCAGCTATTTGAAGTATACAAATAGATAGTTTTATTCTAAAATGTGTAAATATGTGTTACCAAATGCTTTTTCCATCACCATGCAATCCATTTTCAGAAGGAACTCAAAAATACAATTATTAACTTCACAGAAACAATGAAAAACGAGTTATCCTGGTTGTAGTGGTTTGAACAAGGTGTTCCCCATAGTCTCCAGCATTTGAAACCATGTTCCCTAGCTAGTGATACTGTTGGGGAGGCTTAGGAAGTGTGGCCCCACTGGAGGATCTATTTCTATGAGTTCCTTCTCTCTGTTTCCTACTTATGGCTCAAGATGTGCCTGCAGCCTCAGCTTCTGCTCCTGCAGCCAGACCTGCCACCTGCTGCCTCTGCTCCTGCCGTCAGGAACTTTTATCCCCCTGGAACTCCAAGTTCAAAGTAATCCTTGCATCTGTGAGTAGCCTTGGTCATGGTGTTTTATTACCGCAAGCACATGGCTCATGTAAAATATGCAAATAAGTATGCAGCCTCTATTTATTGCAAGGGTGATGAACATTAACTCACGGTTTACTCAAGCCTCTTCCAGGTAGCTAGAAATATCTTAGGATCATCTATATCCTTCAGTTGGGGTATTTCGCTCAAGTTGCCCTGAAGGTAGTTTGTACAACTTTACTGTAAAAACAAGGTTCACAACTGGATACTGTGATGTTTCTGGGATACCAGCACTCGAGGTGGAGGGAGGATACTGGTTAAAACCAGATAGGATTACACAGGAAGACCCTAACTCAAAACAACAACATAACGATAACAATGCGTTTCATAATAAAATGATTTAAGTACTTTAGTCACTTTTCAATTTTAAATGTGATTTTCCTTTGGGGGGGGGGGAATCATTGCTATGCCAGTGATGGTTGGGATTTGGTCTCCGGACAGAAACTAACCTGTCTGAGATACCTGGTGTTCTGGGTCATTCTTTAAGACCACAGATGCTCAAGACTGCAGAAACACCGATTTGAGTGCCATCTGGTTATTCAGTCTTGGAAAGGGGAAAGGCCTGACTTAACTTTAAAAATTAATAAGGTTTCCACCTATGCGTGCAGCTGTCTGGCAGGGGCGGAGTTTCGGCTGAGGGTGGGGATTCTGTTGAACCTCAGAGCCCACCCGCGTCACCTGCAGACAGAGAGGGCGGTCAGGCTCCGCAGCTGCCCAGGCCGACTCCCTCTGCTTCGCCGCTCTGGCCGGACTGGACTCGCTCAGGGCGGCCGGATCAGGTTCCACCTCTGGCCTCTGAGCGGCTCCCTCCTGGGAGGATCAGGGCGGGTGTGTATCCGGAGTCGCTTCCTATTGGTTGCCTTGCCGGGCGTCCCGACATCTGATTGGACGGCCCCGCCTCCCCGCAGCCTGAGCTCATTGGAGGGAGCCAGCCGAGAGGGCGGAGCGCGTTCCCCCGGGTTCTTGAGCGAGCGCGCCGGGCCGCTGAGTGGGGCTGAGGCGCGGGAGCGGGGCTGCGCGGCGGGCTGCGGAGGTAGGGAGCGCGGCGGGCGGTGCGGGCGGTGCGGGCGGTGCGGGCGGGCGGACGGCGAGGGCGACGGGCCCGCGGCTGGTGGCTCGGGGCCGGCGGACGCCCCGGGAGAGCCCCTCTCGCCGCAGTCCCCGGCCGGCGGGCACCGAGCCGGCAGCCGGCGCGCCGAGCCCTCCTCCACCGTCCTGTCAGCCGCGGCCGCCACACACACAAAGAGCGCGGCGGCAGTGGCGGCGGTGCGGGGCGGCTCGCCCGGGGCCCGCAGCGCCCAGGCCGCGGAGACAATGCGGCGGGCGGGACTCCGCGCCCGGCGAGCGGCGGAGCCGGGAAAAGTTTGCGGCTTCTCCGCGGGCTGGGCCGGAGCCGGGGCCGGGCCGCGGCCGGGGGAACCGGCTTCGGGACGGGGCCCGCGAGCTCGGGCGCCTGCGCGGCCGGAGGCGTGAGGAGAGAGCCTTGAATACTTTTTTTGGAGCGGGCGGGGAGAACAAATACAAGTGCGGTCGGGCGAGAGGCGCTGGCGTGCCGCGGTCGCGGGGACGGTAGCCGTGGGAACCCTCCGGGGGCGCAGGCTGCCCCTGGGCCCGGCGGGGGCGGGGTGGAGAGGTTAGAAGGTCGCCGAGCTGCGCTGCCCGCGACCGGCTCGGCTTGACCTTGGACCAATGATTTCCGTGCTTGGCTCGCCACCGCGGGGTGGCCGGGGAGGCGACAGCCGCTCCGAGAGTCTCCGGTGGAGGAGATTCTCCTGCAGCCTCGTCGGGCTGCGGGAGTTGTGAAGTGGGTAGGCCGGGACGTGGTTCCCGGCGCCCGGGCTTCGTCCTCCAGCCTGACTCCCGAAGTAACTTTTAAGTCGGGTGGCTTACAAGCACCGGCCCTTAGAGGTTGACTCGAGTGAAAACGAGGTGTCCATTACTTGATCTGCCATCCGTGAGACCGCTCTCCCTCGCTGCGACGTTTGAAGTCCTGGGGCCGGGGACAGAAGCCAGCCTAAGGGTGAAGTGGCAGGTGCCCCCTGCAAGCCCTTCTGCGCTCTGTGCAGCAGAAGCACCAAGTATTTATTATGCAAAGGGAAGAGCCAATGGGGCAGGTCTTGTGTTTGTGCCCTTGGTTTCTGTGTTACTGGTTCCTGCTGAAAAGTTTTGCAGAAGGGTGAGGTGTGTGTGTGTGTGTGTGTGTGTGTGTGTGTGTGTGTGTGTGTGTGGAGGGGGGCTCTCTTGTGACAAAGAAGGAAAAGAAAACTTTATCTGTAATCCAAGTAAATCTTAAAAGTAATGTAAATCTCCCTTGCGGGCGGGCGGGCGGGCGGGCACAGTAGCGGTGCTAGTACATCTTGATCTAATTTTAATGAAGGATTGAAAATAGCCACTGTGTTCGTATCACTGACGCCAAGTCAGCTCACTTACATAATCTTCTTTGTTGAGAAGTGTGAGTGCCGCGAAGAATTCTGAAGAATGATTAAAACGTTTGTTCTGACATTGTCATTGAACTGTTGTCATTTCAGATTGATGTGGAAAATGACGAAATTCTTAACTTTTGGCTATCGCGATAACCTACATTTTACCATCAAATTAAAACCCAACCTTTCCACGAACAGAACTGTTGTACATACTGCATATGTACTTTGTCAGCAGTGTATAATGGAACTGTTTGCTCTGTCAATGTCAAGTACCACCGTGCTCTCACTTGGCGAGAGTGCTTCTTAGATGTCAGGTGCTCCACTGCCATGTTTTCTGCACCATGGAGCTTACAAACAATGCAAGCATGGAAGTTAGCTATTCAGCAAATATTTGCTCACAAGATACGCAGTGTCCAGATAAAAATAATTAAAAATTCTCTTTGTGTATTAAAGAGAATTATCACCATGCTTTTCTGGAAAGAAGGGAGATATCAAAGAATTTACAGAAAAAGTAAGTTTAATTCTAGTATCTAGCCTGAAAGTTCATAGCTTAAAATAGGGATACGTATTTAGAGACAAAGACAACTGGTAGTGTTTCTAGGAGAATGATAACAATGTTGAATTAACATAATACATTTCGTGACCTAGTTTTATTTGAGCTTGAGCCTTTGAAGAGGTGTGTTTCTTAAATAATCAGTATCTGTTTGCATTGATTGGGGGTGTAATTAAATGTCCCAATCATAACTGTAATATTTCATTTGAGTGCTGCCTCATTTTAAAACTCATTTAGAAAATAACATGAAAGCTTTCAATTTATTTGTATGAAGGAATATTTTTAAAATCAAGGAAATCCTCAGTGAGAAAAAATTATTTTTATCCTAATATCAAATGTAAATGAAATGCCAGAAATGGCATCTTTTCAAAAGGTCTTTGCCCCAGACAGCACTGGGTGTAGGAAAGATCAGTGTGGACTACAGTGCCACCTGCTCTGTGTAGGAATGGCAGTGTCAGGAGATTGTAAGGCCTTAATGATTTGGAAGGTGAGGCGCTTAGGAAAAGTCGAGTGGCTTTATTTCAAGGTGACCACTCAACCTGGATCTAACATTGGTAACAAGGAGCTCTCTTTGTAGAATTTGTGTTCTTGTCTCAGATTTCCTATTTGTGTAACAGTGCCAGAGGCGGGAACAATATATTTCAAGGTGTGCTCTTTATGGACAGGTATCAAAATTCCCTTGCAGAGCTAGCAAAGCTTCACTCTCCTGAGCATCTGCATATGTAGAGAATTAGAGTGTTTGGGAATGGAATCTGAATCTGTACTCGGAAGCTCCTTTCAGTTTGAGAGTTAGTCACGCAAAATTGTAAGCATTAGTGGTTTTTTATTCCTTGCCAGTGTTATCGAGGCTAGTGTTTTCTTTTAAGATGATTTCTCAGAGGCTCAGTGCCTAACCATTTCCATGTGACACCAAACCTAGTCTCATCTCTCATCTGTTGTCTTTGCATATCAACCAAGTTAAGACATGTTAGAAAGCTAGACTTTCTGTTCTGTGTGTGTGAGTAATGTAGTGAACTTACCATGTTAACTAAATTTTAGGCTTAAGGTTGAAAATGGACCCTGGGATGGCAGCCTGTGAGACTAGAACAAAAATACGATAGAGAGGCGTCCATTTATTACCCTTTAACATTCACATTGGAAGATTTAGATGCAGTGTGTGGGTATACCCATGTATCCTGCCTTCTATTGTGTCACATTTTGTCCATTGATTTATGTAACGGCTTCTGTAAGCTCTGTATTCAAATGTCTTCCAACTTGTGAAGAGTTTCATGTTTATTGAAACATTATAGAAGGAATGTAAAAGAGAGTTCATAGAATAGGCTGAGTAGTCTACCAGACCCGATTCCAATCCTAGCTGACATTTACTGCCCAGGTGGCTTCAGATGAACCCCTGAGCACCTGTGCTCCAGCTCCTTTACTACAGATACAAGGATAATAGCGCCTGTCTCACACGAGTTGTTTTGAAAATTATGCAAGATTATACATTAAAATACCATCTATTAATATGAGCATACTGTATAAAGTAGATGTAATTTTTAATTGTAACTTTTTCATTTTTCCTTTTTAGCCCTGGAGAGTCACTGAAGAAGGAAAAAGAGGAAGTACACACTGAATGAGCTAAGTAATCTGAACACTACGGAAGGTCACATCACTAAGTAGTAATTGCTGAGCAGAGGGAAAGACAGATTGTAGTGCCAGCTATATTATCTTGGGTTTTGTGATCCAGCCTTCTGGCTCAGGTACTTTGTTTACCCTCATCTCCTTTGGTGCCATCATAGTTAGCACTTAGTCATATATTTTCCACACTCACTTTGTGAAGCACTGGTTATGTGGTTTGTATCAAATTTTGAACCTTGGCTTTAGATTTTAGTATCCCTGATTCTTAACTTTCTGGGCTAAGGGTAACAGCTCTTTTTCTTATGAGGAGGTAGACGGGGGTCTAGCTCTTGGAATTATTAAAAGGAATATATTTCTACCCATGATGCTGGGAATGGATCCAGAACTCAGCGTAGGAGTTACTTTTTCATACAGTCATTTGCCACTAAAGAATGGGTTCTGGTCAAAGAGGCTCCTACCCGAGACTTAACACTCCTTGTCCATGAGTTAGTATTTAGATATGTCAGAGTACTTTCTCTAGCGTTAGTTGGTTTGCTCCTTATAGCAGCTCATTAAAATGCTGTCATAGTAAGTGAACAGATGCCAATCAAGCCCCTCAAATCCTTTCTCCTCATTTTTCTTCTCATTGCTGCTCCACAAAAGGAGTCCTGTTCTGTTCTAAAATACCTGTCTTCATAGGTACAGGAACAACTAACTGCTGTAGCTTAGCTCATTGGTGTTGTCTTCTTTTGCACCTACCAGAATCTGTCCATTGTTCACTTTCTAATCCTCCCTAGTCTGTTCCCAGATTCCTAAACTCTTAACAATCTCACCCTCCTTGAATTCATTTGTTAGCCAAAACCATTTGGCCAATTATAACCTAGTTATAAAGTCTTACTGCAAAATAAATGGTATATGGTGTACTTGATAAGAGAAAGCACTGGACTGAGTACGTTTGAAGACTTTAACAGTGTTTGTGTGAGCCAAGTCAGGTAACTTACTTTCCTGATCTGCCAGTACAGAGCATCGGCCAACTTTCTTATTCTGAGGTTCTAGCACATTTTGACCTTGCATAGGTAGGATGGGATTGAGTATTCCTGGATACAAATGTTATAAGAACTGAATGTGTCAGGACCTGTTCTAGCCCAGAGATTTATAAATATAAGGTTGTTGCCTTTAAATTCCGTATGCCTTTTCTA